GTAACGAGTTTTAACACGTACTTGTGTTTCTTTTTTTGCGTTTTCTCGGACAAGCATTTTCAAACAATAATACCTCTTGTTTACTTAACGCACTTAGCCTTTACGTTACTTATTAAACGTTCGTTACAAAGCGGAGACTACTATGTTACGGAAGACTCGCCCCCGATTTTGATGAATAATATTAGCTCAACCTAGGTTCTTAACAAATGCGCTCACTTACAAACAGTTTAATCATTATTGTTTCATCAATCAATATGTTCGTTATAAGCTTTCCATAAACAAAACTTCTTTATTCTAACAGTAAAACCAGCTTGCATATCGCTACATTTATGATCATTAAGCGTTTCTTTAATCAGGAAACTTAAAAGCCAAACTGCATTTATTATCCTTTTGTTCGAACGGACCGGTTATAATATTGAATTGTATTAATTTTACATATCAAGGTTGACTTCAGGGACAAGACGCAAGATCAATAAGAGCGGTTTGATTTCATTTCAAAACTCGGAGACAAACAGTTATGTTTACAAGACATATTAATAAATTTATACATTTCGTAATTAATTCCTAATACTAATACTAATTCTCATATACCACAGTTAATTAAATTCAAAATAAAATTTGACACAGAATTTTTGCGCTCAGACACAGCTCAACTGCTTTTTGTTTATCATCAATTTGCAAGTTCAAATTGAGTTACTGACAATACCTCGCTCAGTTGCTTTTCCATACCATCAAGATTAAATTGAGCAACAGCTTTTTATTTTTCCTGTCAAATTACTCCGTGATATGTACTAATTTTATATATTAATATAGTGAAGATTTGGTGTTATTAAATTTTTGTCCAATATACATTGGCATTAGTATGCTAGACTTTCAATTAAGTAATTTTCCCCGAACAAATCATCTGAACGATTATAATATTTACTGCGCCGTAGCCACGAAATATGCATCCGAGCAAACAGAAAAAAACTTTAAAATTCCAGGATTATGAATCCCACGTTTATGTTATCCGTCCCAGCGTATTCACGACAAACCAAGATTAAGGCCTTCATTAGATTTACAGGATTTATTTAGTATTTATATTAACAATAGTTTACAATGAATGTGACAGATAACCTCTTAAAAAAATAATATATCTAAAATCTGCTAAATCTATGACTATCATAAGCATCTACAAAATATGGATCTTGTAAAACTTCTTGTATTGACGGTCTCGCGCGAGGATCCCTATCTAACATCGATGTGATTAACCGGGCTGCATCTTCATCTTGGATTTCTCCGTCAACTGGGGAGAGGACCGGTCGTTTCAAATCTTGCTCTGTCTCGAACAAAGGCCTTCTGCGAGTTATGTAGTAGAATATACAGCCAAGGCTAAACACGTCGGCAGAAAAGTCTGCAATGACGTGTTTTTGGAAAAGTTCCGGTGCAGAAAACCCAGGCGTGAGGTGATTGTCAAAGTACATTTCAGGGGCTTCCGTCCCGGCAGGCCGTGCAAATTCAAAATCACATATCCGAATTTTCTTAGACGTTCTGGATTCAAAGATAATGTTTGATGGTTTCAGATCTAGATGCTGTAAATTTATCGTCAGTATCGGTTCATTAATATGAACACCAATTACAGTAAATACATACCACAACACCCTTCTCATGAATGAAACTGACCGCCTGACAAATGCGCTCAAAAATAGGCTTAAATGCGGTCTCGGCTGCATATCTATCCGCTTCAGCTAACAGGGATTTCCCGGCGTAATATTTGGTGACAGTTACATATCCGTTTAATCCCTGTTCAAAGCTGTAACCCTTCCATTTAACTACATGATTGCTTCGTAATTCATCGAGGTACTTGTTTTCGTTATGCCATAAATTCATGCTATTGAACAATTTGACTACCACTGCGACTTGTTCGCAGTAGTGGATGGCCAAATATAACCTGTTCCTATGCAAATGCTGTTGCGGATCCACTGACTCCCGTGGAAACTCTAGAGGTGCCTGTATTCTGTAAAGTGTACAAACTAAACTCCCAATAGCACTTTCTATAGGTAGTTGGAATTGCTTATCATATGAACTCGTAGTGTGTAAAGAATCTGTCCTGTAAATAAATGTTCCATCAGCGGGGGACACCGGAGTACTGTAAGTGTCTGTTCGCTTATCTGATGGCCTGACTTCCGACGATGGTAAACATATTTGACTCGACGTCGGTGACGATAACGTGCTGTGGTCTGGAGAACTCGTGATGGGAATGTCGTAGCCAGGCTGGGACAAAACGGGCCGAGTTCCTGGATTGTGATGAAATATCAGAGTGAGTCAATAATTCGAAGCAATTCGCCATATCAATATACGTAAAAAACACCATCACGGAAAGGCTGTTCACCTCTGCATTCAACGGTACTTCTGAGCGTCGCCCTTGAAGTTTCACGACTCAGAGAATAATCGCCATCAGTGCTCGGATAACCAACCGGTTCGTCCCTAAGCGCGTAGCGCACGCTGTTGTTTATTGTTGACATCGTCCTTTCGCTTAACTTTCGAAAACCTACTCCAGAGTCTTCTGAAAAGTTACCATCCTTATGATAAGACGTCATTGTCATATGCCTCGTTGGCTGATCAAAAGAGTAGCATCTGTCATCTCCAAGAATCGTGTCCCAAGTCGCCAGTTCGTGAATAGATAGTTCAATTTCAACAACGCCCGCAGCTCCACCGGCCTCTAGAAACCTTGCTTGACCAACTAGAAAGAGATAAGCGCGTGTCAATTAAACTCCGAGTCGTGATAGAAGCATCCAATACTGAAAGTAACAGGCCAGACTTACTATTAACGCCGCAACCTAGTTCAAAGTTATGAATGTTTGTTGTAACTTTTAACGTATGTTGACAAATATTACAAATTCATTACTGAGGGCGTATCTTACCATCAGCAAATGAACCCTTGGCAAGTTCAGACCAAACAGCAATATTTGAAAAAATACGAATAACCGTCCTGGACGTAGCTTTAGCCGAAGGGCTTGTCTTGCATCTGACCGTCAGTACGACATCCCCAGACGCCACCAAGTCCATACAAATCGGACGTTTCCATTCCCGATCGGATACCTTCCAGAACGGATGAGTTGTATATGTCGATGCTGGTTCATGTTCGCTAGATAAAGAAAACTCTAGATGTGCATCGTGACGGATCATCCTAGAGCTAAACGAAAGAAATCAAAAATTAAGAAAGACCCGCGCGCAAATCCACAATCGGCAGAGAGAGCATAAAATACGTATGAATACCTTTTAACGTTGCGAATGACGGCCATAGCAATACGTTGTCCTTTTAAATCTGATGCTAATACATCCTGAGCAAGAGTCCGCGGGGGACCTGGAAGCATAAGAACCATCTGGAAACGAACCTGGCCGACTATTTCATTATGGCTATTTAGATTTTCTACTACTAAATTTAAAATACGTAATTTAGCATTTTATCATGTGAGTTTGTCGGGGCAGTCGTCTTTGTGGCGTTCCGCGTCCTAGCGTTTTTTGCACTTTCTTTTTTTCCATTTATAAATCATACTGGTTTAGATACTTACCGACGACCGGGAACATATCATTCAAAATACGATATTTGGTGAGATCTACTCTGCATTCTCCCATAATCGCATTCACCCCCCTCTCGTTAGCATTGAAGCAAACCACAGAGAGAATAGTTGAGGTTGGAGGATACACCTCCAACAACATGTGTTCATTCCATTGGGCCGATTTTGCTTCATCTCTATAATGAAAAATCAGTAAGAAATTCGAAATGATTGTAATTGACTATCGTTCAAAGTATATCTTGCAACTGGAACTGAATGCCAAAGGCAGGCTAATACTCACAAGGGGACGGTTATGGTCTCGAGTTTTCGACTTCCTAATTCAAATGTAGCGGATATCTTTGTCTTGTTGGCAAACAACCCACCAAGACGCCTCTGCTTTGGTGCATTCTTAAGACCACTAAATTTATCAATTCTTGTTTAGAATAGCATTTTTACTGCCCGAGCAATTACTAAAAATAGTTAAACATACATTTCAACGTCTCTAAGAACCACGATCCCAGCTGCCTTACGTGAGCTGCTATCACCTTCCAGAGAAATGTTGGCTAACGAATGTTGAGGACTAATGAAAGAGGTCATTACTTTCTCGCAATCGGAAAGATGAGACGTGCTCATACATTAGCATAACGAAATTCAGACACGTGATGTAAGTTACGTGTTACAAGATTAAATAAAATAATACAAAGGCAGAAGCTAAAATTTGTAATTGCCAAAATTAGGCCCGCTTTCAATTTTGGCGCAGTAATATCCTGGCGGCTCGCAAGTGAACATTATGCTCACATGTGAATGTTTCTCGCAAAGAACTTAAAGAACATATTTCACTCTTGTGAGTGACAGATCTGATGCTCGTTTGTTTATCATATTTGCAGCTAATTTTAAATTATTTGACATCGATAACTAAAATCGGCGTTAGTTAATATTAATATCCTCCTCCTAATAATGCATGACATCTTTTAGTTACAATGAGACGTAAAATGATCTATGTCAATAAAAAAAAGCATTTCTTATACTGCAATGCAATCGATGCGAGACAAGGCAAACAAAGAGTTGTCTACGGATCCAAAATGGCAATAAAACAAAAACAAATATTAGCCTCTCGCAAAATTCGTGTGACGGGATCGACGCCTTGCATTAATGCGATTATTCAGACTAAAAAAGTTCCATTCGAGATGCTATTGTCAAATAGTAGCCAGTAAATCGATCTTTTATGTCGAGCTATTGATACAGTCACCATTATTCCAATCTCTGCCATTTTACCACATACGTGAGTCACAGTGACTTCCATTACTATTTTCCAATAGCTGTTGTTATTCCCGAGGCTTTATTCTTCTCACGGTCAACGAACTTCTGTGTATATAAACATAATATGCATAGTCGTTCACATACGATTTATCTCGATGCCATCGTTACTCAATTTTATGCATTAATTTGTCATCATTAACTTCGTTTGAATGGCGGTGAAAAACTTATTTATAAATGTAAGTCAAGAATTAGTATTAGTAATACGTAAAGCACAAATATGTGACTATATATCACCGTAATCGAATCAAAACTGTTATTTGTTAATCCGATGAGTAACATAGCAACAATTATAAATGCTTTTATGTATCGCTACAACGAAAACTAATTTGTAATAATAAGGGCGTACTATTCAAATGGATACCAACTCACTTGATAAAGTAAATGAATAGTCACATAAAACATATAAATCCTTTTTCTTCGAACATCTTTGTACTATGTTAAATTGCATAATGTTTGCGTTGTGAAACTAGTTCTGATATGTTGTCGTTCCAACATTCATGCACTCAAAATTCATTGCCTTGACACTAAAGTTTTGAACAGATAATGTAGAATCGTTCCCATCAGCGTGTTGCAAGAAAATGCCTGTCTCGGGTAGTCTGAATGATTAATGATTGATGGATGAAGAAGTGAACATAGCGTTGATGAATATGGAAGTGTAGCAGGATGGGGATAATCTCGCGTATACAAAACTGGCAGTATTAAAAAAGCCTGGTTAAATGTTACTAATTGTAATTCGATGACGGAGAGTTTGCCACTTCGTTACTGTATCAATTGTTTGTAATTCGATCCTCTATAAGGGAGTTTATACATTAGTCAATTATACATTAGTCAAAGACTATCACTCAATTGAAACGTTTAGTTTCCAGATCGCCCGTATTAACAGCAGACTGGCATTTCTTTTATTGGTTCAATGTCTTTGAAATAAGAGTTAGCATTAAAGTTGTGACAGCTCTTGGATGCGTAATCCCGACAGAGTTTTAAACTTTTGGTCAACGTAAGCGTGATGTTATGTATTCAAATGACAACTTTCTACGATGGCCGGATGCATATATATGACTTACGTTTTTGACCCTCCTCAGCATTTTATCAGCGTTGTTATGTTTAGTACTTCTGTCTTTTTCTTTCGTGCCATATTTTATTACAAAAGTTTCGCGGATGTGTCTCAAAGGCCTAATTCTCATCCGTCCTATTGAAATTAAACAAGAAAAGTCCACTGATGATTGTGTTCTTTGCTTAAGTTTAAGCTTGCTTCGAGTGATAACTCGCCAAACTGTCGACCATCCTGATCTAATAAGTATACATCCGTTTCGTTTTCATGTACATATTATCATCTTCGCATTGACCAAGTCCAACGTTCATTTTGTCTTATTACAGCAGTTCATGTGTTATCGGCGTGCCTCCACGATAGTTTTATTCCACTCGATCTATTCGTGATCGAAGCATCAACACCCATTATAATTAACAATTACGACCCTGTTCCATGACATATTCATCACTTGCTTTTCTTTCTCTCTTCTCCCCGCGATTAATCTTATAATTTGGTGTCCTTGTTATGGCCTTCTAAATATGTCTCTTCGTTGTTTCTTAGCAATTTCTGTTTCATTAAAGTGCTTCTGATGTTCATATTCAAGCATTCGTCTTTCTGCCGTAATCACCGTTGCTGCTGTTACCGCTGGAAAATGAAAACGATTGTGAATGTATGATCTAATGATTGCAGAATGCAATCTATGACTACCTGGGAAGAGAATATTTCTCTAACCCTAACAGATAAACAACCTAATTACTCACCAGCAACGACAAAAGATGTCTAGATCATCCGATAACGAAACAAAGTATTCATTAGTCATCCTATGCCCTACCCCTCCCGTTATTATTTATCCTTTTACTATTTTCAAACCCATACCTTTATTGGCAGGGTTAATCTGCGATAAGCAGGTGAGAGCCACTGTGCCAGTCCCGAACAAAACCCAGCGAATATAGCCATTTTTGTTCCTCCAACTATCCCACCACGTATAGCTGCTCTGTACATGTTTCGCGTGTCTTCTTCGTCAGGGATGCGCATGGTAGGGCTGAAAAGTATAAGCGATTAACAGGGATAATGCATTAAAGCACACATTAAATGATAAATATGTAATAGTAAAGTTTGTCATATGATCGCGGAATCAATCATAACCAGCAAACTTAGCAAACTTATTACAGCATTATGACGGCTATCCTTTAGATAGGACACAGAAAGTCGATGATTGATTGGATAAATTGAAACACCCCGTGCCGTAGACTGAACTCATGGGAACAAAGTAGTGGCGATGTTGGCCATCTCTACCAGTGATCAGAACCTTTAATGTTTATCAGCGATTTTGTCATCGGAAAGCCATTCTTTCCATTAACGCATACATTGACGTTATTTATAAGAAATATAACAACATTTATCGATTCGATCGATTTTGCATTACGTGAGCGTATACAGTTTGACACAGAAAATACTTATATGTTATTATTTATGTTCATGATGATTTTATAGTCTTCTCTCTTCTCTAAACGATAATTACTGATTTATCTTTAGTTTACATATTTCTGATGAAACGCTCGCTATTACTATGTCTAATAATGAATTTCGTATTTGACTGAAAACCTCACCGGCCATAAAAGTATTTGCCGAAATCTGTCGAACGTATGAAAATTATATTTTTTCGAAAATCTGTATTGCTCGTATTCATTAAATTTACTGTCGTTATAAAACTGCAGTGGCCGTAATATGTTACACATTTTTCGTATGATTATATACGTGTAACTTACATATCAGCTCGACAGTATGTTTGCTGTAAAGTACAGTCAACTAGCTTCAGAATGATACCAAAAATAATGTTATTAGGTTAGTAGATACAGCCGAGGGCATATGTTTTACTATTGATCGACAGATTTCGGCAAATACTTTTGGCCAGTGAGTGTACTTATATCATGCCTAGCGCAATGTTCATCCTATCCTAATAATAAAATATGCTTTTACTTTTTGGTTTATCGTCTGGTTGAAACAGGTGATTGCATGACGTGTACTTGTATTACATAAAAGGCATAACAAAATCTTGTTCTTTCTTCACTGAGCAAGGCGCGTTATTAATTTTTTTCCTGTTCATTTAGTCGGCCGTCATGACACGTTGAAACCAAGACCGTTTACTCAAACCGACGCTAAGACCCAGAGAAACTGACCAACGTGAAGAAGACCCACACTGATGACGCGTATTTTTGGTTAAAGACGCGAGAAAAACGGTTGAAGACGAGGTAAGGCTTTTCCCGAGTGTATTCTTGAGTGTCTGTACCCGAAGTTACGCTACCACTAGGTGTAAAAACGGATATTTTGAAAGCGCATTGGGTCATCCGTTGCCTTTCGGGTGCGTATCCGAAGGGACGCTGCCACTAGGTGTAAATTGCGGTTTTGCAATGAAACCGGTTACCGAAAAGAAGTCAAGCTAAATTAGCTTTATATGGTGAATAGGATACGTTTGGCAGTTGTGGTTCCGGCGAAGGTCGTCGCTGGGTAACATAGCTGCGCTGTCGACCTGAGTTGGTACGATTTTACTGCTTGTGAACGTTCGATATCCGTTCCGAAGGTGATGTAGCTGAGTAGTGGGCTCGGGCTGTGTGGTGAATAGGGTACATGGACCACAGACTTGAAAGCGCGTCGTGGCCGCAACTTGCGTTTTTCGTCTG